AGATGACGTGGAATCCAGGCATGAATAAATGCACAGAGCAATTAGGTAGAACCGGTGTCTCCCGTCTTCCAGGTTTGGGTCCGAAAGACTGCAACCGGCTGGCTGGAGACATTAAAGGATATGGCGCCTAACCGACAGCAGTGGCGTTCTTGTTGTCATTTCTTATCAGATCAGAATGTTTGAAAAGGTATGTATAAACACTTATATTGTGTACTCTGTGTGTTGAACATAGAGGTTATTTTTCTTTGCCTCCTTCCAATTAGGCCCACCTCCTCTCCATCTTGTGCTTTATCACTTGATTTGTGTACATTGTTAGCGATCAGTGAAGCTCGCTTCACTGTAGCTCGCCGTACGATGATGATGATGGTGTGCGCATGGTAATTCCCGGTTGCCCTGACCGAAGAACAGGGCAGTCGCGTTGTATTTGGCTAGAAAGCCGAACCTGCAAGACAACAGGACGGAGCTCAGAGTCCGCAGTCCATTGGCTCCGGTGTCTAGTTCATTGGATCGTACGCCCTTTGGACGTAGTAAAACGTCCAAGGTGCTCAATACACCTTGCTGCCCAATCGGGCAGGTGACTACTGCCGCAACCAGGAAGGTGTGCTTGTGGTTCGTACGCTTCTTCATGGTTGATCTGGAATCAGTTTTTAGCTAACTCCCCTAGGTGAATTGCTAATGGTTAACCAACCCGTTTATAGCTGCGGTTGTTCACTTTTCGCCCTCTCATTTTGGTGGGAAAACACCTCCGCCACGAAAAGGCAGCTGAGGCCATTTGAGACGCTTGGTCATATAGGGGCATTTCGCGAGGTGTAAGGGAATGGCGACCAGTCACAACCTGAGATACCCACCCCGACCATACTGAGGCTTTCGGAGGAACAGGAAAGGTTTGATTATGTTCTTTCCTATCAGGTCGGAATGCTTGAAGAGGTATGTTAGATTGTGTACTCTGTGTTGACCATAAGGATTTTCTCTCTCCCCTCCCGCTGAATAAGTTCAACCCCTGTCCACCCTACGTATTACCAATATTTTCATATGCGTTGCGAGTTTGGCAGCGATCAGTGAAGTTCGCTGCACGAACACACACACACATATATATATATATATATATTCGCGATGGGCCACCAAACCGTTCAAGTTAATTATCCATATCAGAAATGAAGACTACAATAATTTGTACTCATTGTATCTTTCAAGTTCTTGGGTAGGAGGATCCATTGGACTGATCACACCTTTCCTCAGTGTTGATGCTCGCCTGCCGGTCTAATTCTTATAAATAATGTGATTTGAGGAATTGATATTTCCTTTCCAAGCATTAGTATTCGGCCATTAAGGGTATGGAGTGAGTCACGATCATAATAACTGAGTTCTTTCATATGCTGCTTCTTGTTTGATAGTAGAATGATATCAAACAAGCAAGCAAATTGACAAACGTTAGTCTCATTGTATGATGTATTTGTAGTGGTCTAGTACACGCCTTCTCGTTTTTTTTTCAGACGAACGCGTTACATTTGAAACATTTGTCCCAATTTACCAAACTTTGGCAAAGGAACAAAAGGAAATCAATCCCGAGGAGTTTATAGAAGGATTCCGCGTTTTTGATAAAGAATCTAATGGACACATTAGTGCGGCTGAATTACGTCATTTACTCACTGCTTTGGGTGAGCGCTTAGACGAACATCAAGTAGACCAACTTCTGGCGGGAATGGAAAACAGTCAAGGTTTGGTACCTTATGAAGGTAAGCACAGTCATCCGATGTCGTTTTCTTTGCTTTTGTCAACTAAAATCTACTTAGTTGGCCAAATGATGATGTGCATTTGTAGTATTCATGTTAGTTAAAGACTACTTGCTGCCCAAACCCAGACAGGTAATATTTTAGGGATCCATACTGTTAATTGGTCTTTTTTGTGTTGCTGTGTGGTGTTCGTGTGAGTTTGCGTGTGTTCAAGACCGCATTTTACTGAGTACGTGATCCGGTCCCGACGAGACTGCACATTGACGTAGTGTGATGGCTTGTGCACCTCTGTGACCCAACGATCTATCTATCCATTTCTATGGCTTTTGTCAAACCAGGAGATTTTATCATGCTCGGAAGGTCAATCGGTAAAGATCAGATGAAGTCCAGTCTCCTGGTCTTCCAGGTTGGGGGTTCGTCTGGAATTTGGCGCTTCAGTCGATAAAAAGCGGTGGAGGAGTAATTGATCCAAGTAAATGGGCCTCCACTTCGCTTCAGCCGCTACCTTG